TTTTATTTCAACAACGTTATGTAGCATACAATCTAGATGATACTAATGAGAAATCTAATTAAATAGGTTACTTAATTTTAACCTAAAGATTGCATCACATAATACCACTTAAATTGATGTTATATAATCAATATCGCTAAATTACATTATTATTTATATTCATGTGTCACCTAGATAGCAATTTATAAAATATATTAAAGATGCTTTTAATAGCTTCCACTTTGTGCTGGGTGTCCCTTTTTCTCCCCTTCAAGTTTCCACCTTGATCATCTCTCATATTCATCATCTTGAACATAGAAAAAGACGTGCTATTAAAATAATTTATGTTTTATGAAAATCTCTTCTCCACGTCAAAGAAATGCAGGATTTGAGGTGAAAATAATTTTATTTCCACTTTATGCACTTTTTACTGTATATATACATAATAAAGTAAATAAAAAATATTTTTGTGTGTTAATCAAATATTTTACATCCATTGATACAGGTGGTGCAAAATTAATTGGCATGATGAAATCTAGACAAAATCTCGCTATTTATTATTATATAAACATTGAACAGTTCAAAGATGAAGCAAAGATAGAACAAAATTTCATGCTTCTTTCTTTTTGAAGGGAAAATTGTCCACAGATTTGTAAGCTTTTCAATCTTTTTCATGTATCTGATTCTCAATAATTTCCCATACATTTGACCTTTATACTTCACTAGAATAGTCATTTTTCGAAAAAGCAAAGCTCGGAAGTGAAAATTTTGAGCTCATTCTTTAAAACATATCTTTTTAGTTTACTTTCAATCACAAATTCTGTCAACAAAATAATTTTGCACGTAAATTTAAAAATTTCTCCTACTTTTTAATCATACATTCTTACAAAAAAAATAATTTTCACAAAATCTAACATAAAAAAGTGGGGCTCAAACATGGGCAATAGCATGTTTTGAATTTTTTTATAAATGATTTAAATTATAAAAAGATAAAAATGGGTAAAAAAATAGGTGGATATTATTTATAAATTCATTGAAATATGTTAATAAAAAGTGAATTTAATATTTATATATAACTTGTAAACAAAAGCCAAATATAGGCATCTTATTTAATTTTCTTTTCTTTTTTTGCTATATGTGTCATTTTACATTTTTTATTGAAAAATTTGATGAAAATGATGATTTCCGCAATGAAAGTTGAAGATAAGGGTGAAAATGTCAAAAGACAAAAGGTAGGGACATTTTGCACGATAACATAAAAAAGTATGGACGTTTTCTGCTAATTACCCAATTTAAGAAAGGTATAGGTAACAATATGTACAGAGGCATCGGCCTTTGCTCATAAGTGCACCTCTCGATCATTTCATTTAAGGTAAGATCTATAGCTTTTTGAAATAATAATTCTATACCAATAGTGATGCTTAGCACCAATGTATGTAAAAGTGGTTCTAGCACTATATAACATTACTCGTTCTGGTAAATTACTTTTGTATAAAGCGATAAATTAAAAAAATCAACACCTATTTTTTGACATTATACATTTAGTTTATTAAAAAATGAAAAGAAAAAAGGAAATGAGCATGTGGCCCATAGCCAAATAGACCAATGGCATCCAACAAAACGCCGACATATTGTGGATCAGTTGTGGTGCAAGTATATTCACATTAAGGAGAGAGGGGTGGGCACGGGTCGGTTTGGTTCGGTTCTAAAGAGAACCGAACCGAACCAAAATTTTCGGGTATTTAGTAAATGAAACCGTCAGGTCCAAATATAATTATGGAACCGTTCGGGTTCGGTTCCGTTCGGTTCGGTTCGATTCGGTTCGGTTCGGTTCTGTACTATAATTAAATTTTTTAACATTTATAACAGCATTATATAAATACAACTAATGACACATTTAATGGTTTTGAAATGTCAGAGACTCGTAGACTATCTTGTTCAAATGATCGCTACGATCAAAATTTCGGTTGGCGGAGGTCACAGCATCGGTCGACGATTGTATATGTTTTGGAATGTCAGCGAGGCTGCAAGAGTCGAGACAGCGTTATACACTTTAGTATATATATTTAGGGTTATTTAGTGAGTTGGATCTTGTTAGGCTAAGAAATGAGGCAATAGAAGGGGTAATTGAGTCAAAAATTAAAAAATTAAAAATGAAACAAATTATTTGGCCAAAAATTTGAATTTAGAAATTGTTAATTTGTTAATTTCTTTAGAAAAAATTAAAATTAAAATAATTTGATTTATTTAATATAAAAAAAATTAGAAAGATTCGGTTCTTATTCGGTTCTTGGTCTAGAACCCAGAACCGAACCGTACCCGCCGGTTCTCAATTCAAATACCCGTTCGGGTATTTAATTTGACAAGAACCGTCGGGTTCGGTTCAGTTCGGTTCGGGAGATTTGCCCAGCCCTAAAGAGGCAATATGGCTATTGCAAGGGAAATTTTTGAGAGGTGGATGTCAAAGCCTCCTAATAAGAAAGACCGGCTTTCGTATATGAAGTTTAAATTGAGGTACAATTAGGCCAAGAGGGTGAGAGAGATTTCTGACTGTCATCTGAAGTTTACACCTGGATTAGGTATGTGAAGTTCGAGATGAAAAATGGAGAAATAGTGACAAATTTTCATTTGCTAGGGTTTGGTTGATGGTTGCATAGTTTGTAATAAGTTAGTTAGATCTTTGATCAAGCATGCCAAATTCTTGGATTGGCAAAGCTCCCAGAGATATTATATTTAAGAAATACATTGAGAGAAGGCTGCAACTTGTTAACGTCCTTTTTTTTATAGAGATTTTTCGCTTAAAAGTTATTCTAGCCTGATAAAGTATTTCCAAAATTCAAAAGTAGTTTCTTAGTCTCACGAAATGGGCCCTAAATATGAAAGAACAAGATCTATTTATGAGAGGCTTTCAAAAAGCACAAAACGCTTGAAGATTTTATGCCAAGTTTGAGACATTTTCTCTGGAAGAGGGTGATTATGAACACACGAGAAAATGCTTTCGACATCCTAAAGCAGTCTTTGAAAAGACCTTTGCTATTTCAGAACTAGTGGACCTGACTATCATTTCTTAGAAGAAACATAGACAAGAATTCTAAAAATAGGAGGCAGAATACAACGAGAATCCTGGTTCACATAGGTACGGATTTTTATAAGTTTTAATGCACATATGTTGTATGTATTTAAGCTTGCGTGTATAAAGCAAAAAATAAAAATGGCTTGTTTTGAGATGTTTAAATTATAATATAGAATCATGCTATGTAGCCCCACTGAGATTACATCCCCAGCATAGGTGGCGCTAGATAATACGGTGAAAGAAAGGTGAAATTAAATAATTTATTTAATTCCATATATCATTTAATGCCGCATTAACGTCACCTAGACTGGGTTGTAGCTCCCGAATCTGTTGAAAAGAATGAATAATAAATTGTGGGTATAGAGAATGAGTATATGAAATAATTGTTTGAACCACTTAAATTATAATTTAAGTTTATTTATTTTGTAATAAGAAATTAGATTATGAATTTATTTCTAATTACAGAGTAAGGATTTTTTATATTTTGTGAAATCTATTAAGATGTTAAATTATTTTATCCTAATATAAAAAAATCCATTAAAATCCAAAGAATCCATTATGATCAACGAATAGAATTCTTAAAATCTTACGAGTTCTATCGAATTCTATTAAATATATGAAATCCACGATAATCTATAAATTCGGAGTCAAAGTCCCCATCCTTAGTTTCATTTTCAAAATCATTCTTTCAACAATGGAACTGACAGCTTTTCATTTCTTTTTCCCTCTATTTTTCCTTCTCCCTTTCCATTGCAGAAACTATGGAATTCCCAAAAACACAAGCAGCAAAGATGATCAGAGGATTGAACTAGATTCCTGAGATTGATGTGAACATTGTTGAAGAAGATCCTGCATTTACAGCACCAAAAATAGTCGAAAAAAGTTTACAATTTCCCTGTTTAACCGATCCCAAAACCTGTGTTCAAGACTTGGGACACTCAACTGGATTATAGACTTCCTCACACCAAAAGTGAAAGGTATAACACATATTTTTTCTTTAGGTTTCGGTATCTTTTCTTGCGGTTTACCCTGTTAGGTGAACAATTGCATGTCCAATACAGAATTTTACATTATTACAGAAAAAAAAACAACATAGAATACTTTTGGCATGCATCGACAAGTGAATACTACAAAGCCAAAAAGCGCCATGAAGAGCAACAAAAGTCGACTTATAAACTAAAAATACAATTTCGTCATCCCTAATTATATCTTGTGATTCTCAATGATTTCATGAATAAAATCATGAATTTCATCCAAGTCTTATTCATTTTTGCTTTATGAGAGAAATCTCTGTCAAACTGCTTGAAATATAGCTGCAGGCAATAGTAGCGATCTGTTATTATCTTGTTCCAAGGCTTTCAATGACTGCACGGACATTTTCTATTGGATAGTTAAAATAACCGGTCATACAAATGTAAGAAAACACATTATTCGGTCATCTAATTTTACAGAAAATTAAACTTATTAAACTGATTTACCGTATGGTTTTGTCATGTATTGTAGTACTCTGATATCCAAAAAGAGTGTGCAGGTTCTTGGTGCTACAACTTCTCGAATGTAGAAAATTTCTTGAACTAGAAGTCAGTTAGACAAGCACTTGGTGTCGGAGACATACAATATGTTTTATGCAGTCTTCTTGTGTATGATTCAATGATATCGGACTGGTGTAGAATTACGAAGTTGTTATTCCTGCACTACTAGGGAATGCAGAGCCGGCCCTGATATTTTGGAGGCCTTATGCCAATTTCAAATATGGGCCCCCTATATATATATATATATATATATATATATATGTGTGTGTGTGTGTGTGTGTGTGTGTGTGTGTGTGTGTGTGCAAAAACACTAATTTAAAACTTCCAAATGTCTAAATTAAATTTACTCTTCTAGAATTTTTGATAGAAAGTCAGCAATTATACTATTACAATCAATTTATTTTAGAACTTCTTTTTCAATAGATACCATGGCCAAGCCATTCAATCTTTCTTGTGACATTGTTGATCAAAGATAGGATTTTATCAACTTCAACTTTGAGAAGCTCCTTTCCACAGATGCAACCGTAACTGGTATAGTCAATAATATTCTGTAAGCAATCCATACGTTTGGGAAACAATCCATCATTTTTATGTAGTCCAACACTTCAATCGCCTTTTTTGTCTCTTCTGGCAAACTATTTCTCACAATTTGTAGCTCAGAAAATAACTCTGATCCATCAATGTCAGAATCCATGTCGTGTTTCAAAAATTCTTCAAGCTTATAACACCAACACTTCAAACAACTATCATCTGCATTCTGCAATTTTTTTAAATCAAACAAAAACCCAAAAGTATTTTCATATTTTTGAAATTGTTCAAATCTTAACTTAAGCGAAGAAAGAGCTTGATCAACTATGTACAAGAAATAATCAACTCTAAATGATTCTTCAGGTGAATGTGTTATCTCATCATTAACATTTTCATCGAAGTGCTTCTTTCTATGAATAATACGTTTTTCATGAAATGTAGGTTCAACTTCCATTTGATCAGCAATTTCTTTAGCAGTAATTTTGTCGGATTCAAATCCAGTTTCTCTATATGCTTCAAAAAATGAAATAAGTGCTTTCATGTGACTAATCGCAGCATCAATAGACATGTCTTCACTTTGCAATATTTTGCTTACTCTATTAATAGCAGACAATGTATTGTACCATGTAACCATGCCAAACAAGAATTCAAAATTCATAATGTCAAAAAGTAAGCTTTGAGCATCTCTGTATGTCTTAGGATCATCACACGTTTCCACCAAGTGTTTTAAAGCAGCCTTTATTTCTAGTGTTTGAAATCTTATTGCTTTAACACTTTCGACTTGACTTTCCCAACGTGTTTGTGATAGTGGCTTAAGCGTCAGACCCTTCACATTGTCTTGAAAAATTTTCCATCGCTTCGTAGAAGATGAAAACAATATATATATGCATTGTACAATTCCAAAAAAGGATTTAGCTTTTATACAAGAATTTACCATATCACAAAGTGCAAGATTAAGGCTATGACAACCACATGGTGTGTAAAATGCCCTTGGATTTATTTCTAGTACTCTTTTCTGTAAACCTTTATGCTTCCCTTTCATGTTAGAACCATTATCATAACCCTGTCCTCTTAGATCCCCAATATTCAGTTCAAGTTTTTTCAAAATATCTAATAATTCAACAAATAGTCCTTGCCCCGAAGTATCATCCACCTTAAGGAATCCCAAAAAATACTCTTGTACTTTCACTGGAGTTGCTATGACATCTACATACCGTATTATGAGAGACATTTGTTCTTCATGACTTATATCTGGTGTACAATCAATTATAATTAAATATTTTGCTTCTCTAACGTTTTTAATAATTGTAGTTTTGATTTCTCCAGCCAACATGAATATGAATTCATTTGAATTTTGTGACTAAGGTAATGATAATGAATTTCTTTTTCTTGAATACGACGAATGTGTTCTCTCAAAATTGGATCGAACTCTGCAATCATTTCAATTAAACCTAAAAAATTCCCATTATCTTTTTCGTAAATTTTCTCATTAGTCCCCCGAAATGCTAGATTGTTCTTACATAAAAAGCTAACAATAGAAACTATCCTCACAAAAACTTCTCTCCAATGTTCTCTATCTTAGTTGATTAGATCTTGCATAGCTTTATCAATTGTTAGATTCTGTTGTAATCTCCATTCCAATTCAATCCATCTTCTCATGTTATGCATGTGTCCATTACTAGTTTCATGACTTTTAAGCCTAAAACTAAGATTTTTCCAATCATTGATCCCTTCATTGGTTAATTGAATATTGTTTCCTTCTTGCTTAAACAACTTACAACAAGAGCAAAATACTTTATCCAATGAAATTGAGTAGACCAACTATTTTCTATCACTCTTCTCACCATTTGCTAAATGTCGAATATAATATGTAGAAGAGAAATGTCTATTTTCTGAATCTTTTGGAAAAGTAAAACTATCCTCCCTAAGTGGACCTCTTTTCACTAACAAATCTATCAAGTTTTGATCAACATTTTTCCAATTCCCTGGATCACTAATGTTGTAATGCAACGGTACACATTTTTCAAATTCCTCCATATTTTCTTGCTCATGATCCACTAAAATTTCCTGCTCTTTGGTCATATTATCTTCACTTTGAACCTTTTCATTTTCAAATTCCTCAACAACCAAATCTTTCATCGGACTTTCTCTTTTATTATTAATATTACTACCAAAAAACTTGTCCATAGCTCCTACTTGAGATCGAATAAATTCTTCAGTTTTTTTTTCTTTTTTCATGTCCAGACAAATACTTTCTAGTAGACATATTAAAGCAATACAAAACACAAAATCAATACAAGATTAAATTTTAAATTAGTAGAGGAACAATAAAACCTGGTGAGAGGTTTTCACTTAGAGGAAGTATAAGAACTCCATTTATTTCAAGTTTTCGGTTTTCCACGCCATTTTTGCTAAGTGCTTGACTGCTTGTACGAGCATCAAAGTATTGCTGACTGCAAAATAATGTTGAGTTGAAGAATGTTAATATGATTATAAACCAATAATAATTATGACTTATGAGAAGCTAAATTAAATATGGGGGACTACAAGTCTACAAACGGTAATTAAATATGTTGAAATCGAGAACGGGGTACTGAGGCTATTGCTGCACAAACAACCTATAAACCACTAATCCACTATGTCAGTTTTTTGGTTTCGGTCCTCCTTCCTTTGGTTTGTAAACAATAAAACAAATAGCAGTGAAAGATTTTTTTTATTATTTTTTCTTTTTTTGTCTTTTTATGCATCATTGGCCAAATAGCAGTGAAATATTTGACCGGCAAAAGAGGCAAAAAAATAGATGCAAACTTGCAAACTTCCCGCTCGTGGCTTGTCCCCGGTCATAATTTTTCAAACCCACTTTCCGGTCATATCGTTCTTAGTCGGGTTCACTCGGCTGGGATGGTCAAGCTCAAGCAATTGTCTGACAGACTCAACAAATCTAACAAAAAAAAAAAAAAATAAAACTAAATATAATAGCCTACCTTTGGATTGTCATGTGATCTATCAAAGGACCCGATTCTTTGAAGATAATGGAATTGGAGAAGAAAACATGTCAAGCAATGCCATGGCAGACTGACAGTGAGTCCAGCGACTGAGTGTGAGAAAACTGAAAAGTCAAGAGACTTGTTTGTCAATTGTTATTTTCATTCGTCCAAAAGTTTACTTCAAAGAAAGAGAAAATTTATTTTGTGTTGGGTTTAACAAAAAAATAATGGTAGGTGACAGTTGAAGTGGAATTTGAAGAGACAAAAAAAATCCAAGATTTTTTGTTTGATTAACAAAAAGAAAAATGATGTTTGAAAGATGAATAAGTATAAATTTTATGTCATTTGTAAATTTTTTTTATGATTTTTGTATTCTTAATTTTTATTAATATCTTTTATTTGCATATGACAATTCTCTTTTAAATAATTTCATTAATATAATTTTCATTTTTTTTCAATTAGCTAATTAATTTTATAGAATTCGGGGCCCTCGTCAAAATGGGGCCTTAGGCGATCGCCTACCTCGCCTATAGTCAGGGCCACCTCTAAGGGAATGTAGTCAAGTTACTTGTATATAGATCTTTCATTTTTCGCAAGTGGACGGGATCGTGAACAAGTAATAAAGTGGTGTGTAGAGTGTCGAATCCATGAGGACTATGTGTTTGATCAAGTTAAGGCTAACACTGTCCTTAATCGAATAGCAAGATTGAGTTGTAACTAAACACTATTAAATCTATCAAATAACTTAAAAGCAATGTAAAAAAATTTATCAAATTTGCAAGAAATATTGCTAAGATGTAGAATCCCACTTGCTAATCCATTTTTAGTTTAACAATTTAAATTGACAATTTGAAATCATGCTTGTTGGTTAATATTCCTATTTTAATTGAAAAGTTATCAAATCTATTCTCCTCATGTGACCTTCCTATCTCTCGATGATGAAAGATGCGAACATGATAAATGCATTAAACGAGTTAGAACATCTTATAGAAATCATATGAAGCATAGATATATATCTCTATCCTCTATCGAACATCACAGTATTTATTATTAAGTGCTAATGATTTTATTATCTCTGTCGATGACAATAAAACCCACAAACAATTTAATTATTGGCCAAATAATTGAAAAGCAGATTAAATCATAATAAACATTCAAACAATTAAAAAAAGTAACGACAATATAATTATTCAAACAAAAAATTTCATACTAAGGGTTCATCACATCCGAGCAATATAAAAATATAGCCTCGCATATTGTCGAAATGAAACAAATAAAGGATAAAAGACATCACCAGAAATTGACGAAACGTAATTAATTTTCGTATGCGTTCGCCATCTCGTGTCTGCTTTCTCTGTGTGTGCGTCTTTTTTCTTTTCTTATTATTATTATTTTTTTTCAATTCTTCACTGCCAACTTTCTGTGCATGCGTGATGGGTGTATATATATACACTTTGATTTTCTCCACCAGCTGCTGAATTTCCGTGCATGTATATATATCAACGGTAGCACTCTTTTATTTTCCAGCAGACAGCTCGTTCAATTTCCAGCAAGCAGCAAAGTAGCTCGTTCTTCAATAGTCTGCTCCTACTGTGCGTGCATGTATATAATCTTTTTAGCCCAATTTTTACGCCAACAGGGATTCTAATGCACACCAATAGCCGCCGTTTCCTTTTTTTATATAATTCCAGTTGGCAGCTCGTTCAATTTCCAGCAAACAGCTCGTTCTTCCTTTTTTTTTTTTTACTCGTCGCTTCTTCCTCCATCTTGCAGCACCCAATTGTGTTGGTAATTCACAGTTTTCTCCAGCCGCATTGTGTTGTTTTTTTTTTTCCTCCACGTGTTCCCCGAAACTTAATGTTTTCTCTAGACGAATTGACTTAACAAAATTTAATATTTTTCTTCCTCTCTCATTCTCTTGGTTTGTTTCTTAATATTTCTTTCTCATCTTTATTTTTTCTCTTTATACTAAAGATGAAATTTGAATTATATGAAGAACACAATAAAGATTAAGCCCTTATTTGGGTTCCATTTCAATGAGCTTTTAAAGAAAATGTATTTTGAAATAGTGAATTTTTTGAGAATGTGTGGTGAAAAAAGAAAGAAAATTTTTAGATTTACATGTAATATTATTTTATTGAAAAATTTGTGGTTAAAAAAAGAAAGAAAAAAAGTACATTTAAATTTTAATGGAGCCCAAACATGGGCTAAATTTGAATTTAGCCACCGATTGATTAGATAGCAATGCCGCATGGATATAAAGTATTTCTATTTTAGCAGCATTATTTAGCACACAATCTAGATGTGCTAATGAGAAATTGATTAATCAAATGAGTTACTTAATTCTAACTTCATGATTGGATCACGTATTATCACCTAAATTAATGTTACATAACCAGTAGATGATATTGGTTATGATCTAAATGATACTAACGAGAAATATAATTAATTGAGTTACCTAGTTCTAACTTCATGAATAGATCACGTATTATCACCTAAATTAATGTTATATAACTAGTAGTGCTAAATAATATTATTATTTCTATCCACGTGTCACCTAAATAGCATTTTATAAAATATATTAAGATGCTTTTAATAGCTTTTACTTTGTATTGGGCGTCCTTTTTTCCCCTTCAAGTTTCCACCTTGATCACCTCTCATATTCATCATCTTCAACATAGAAAAGGACGGGCTATTAAAATAATTTATATTTTACGAAAATCTCTTCTCCACGTCAGAGAAATGCAGGATTTGACTTTCTGCACTTTTTACCGTATATATACATAATAGAGTAAAATAATTGGTATGTATTAAACAAATATTTTACATGCATTGATCCACGTGGTGCTAAATTAATTGGCAAGATGAAATCTAGACAAAATCTCACTATGTATTATTACATAAACATTTAACAGTTCAAAGATGAAGCATAGATAGAACAAAATTTCGTGCTTTCTTTCGTTTTTAATGGAAAATTGTCCACATATTTGTAAGCTTTTCAATATTTTTCATGTATCACTTTCTCAATAATTTCCCATACATTTGACCTTTATACTTCACTAGAATAGGCATTTTTTGAAAAAGCAAAACTCGGAAGTAACAATTTTGAGCTCATTCTTAATTTAATTTTTTTTAAGTTTATTTTCAATCACAAATTCCGCCAACAAAATAATTTTGTACGTAAATTCAAAAATTTCTCCTACTTTTTAATCACACATTCTCCAATAATAATAATAATACTACTACTACTACTACTACTACTACTACTACTACTACTACTAATAATAATAATAATAATAATAATTTTCACAAAATCTAACATAAAAAAAAAGTGGGGCTCAAACATGGGCCAAAGCATGTTTTTAAAGTTTTTATAAATGATTTAAATTATAAATATATAAAAATGAGTAACAAAATAAGAGGATATTACTTATAAATCCATTGAAATATGTTAATGAAAATTGAATTTAATATTTATAAATAATTTATAAACAAAAGCCAAATATAGGCATCTTATTTATTTTTCTTTTCTTTTCTTTTTTTTTTGTTTTATTTCAATGGGAGGTTATATGTGTCATTTTACATTTTTTAATTAAAAAATTGGATGAAAATGATGATTTCCACAATGAAAGGTAAAAATAAGGATGAAAATACCAAAAAATGAAAGGTAGGGACGCTTTGGACATAACATTAAAAGGTATGGACGTTTTGTGCTAATTATCCAATTTAAAAAAGGTATAAGTAACAATAAGTACAAAGGCATAGGTCTTTGCTCTTAATTGACCATCTCGATCGTTTCATTTGAGGTAAGATCTGCAGCTTTTTGAAATAATAATGTCGTACCAATAGTGGTGCTTAGCACTGATGTATGTAAAAGTGGTGCTAGCAATATATATCATTTCTCGTTCTGAAATGGCGAATTACTTTCTTATAAAACGATAAATTACGAGGATCCTGGTTCACATCTGTAAGGATTTTTTAAAGTTTTAATGCATACACGTTGCATGTATTTGAACTTGTGTGTATAATGCAAAATAAAAATGACTTGTTTTGAGATGTTTAAATTAAAATTTAGAATAATGCTATGCAATCCCATTGGGGTTACATCTCCTGTATAGGTGGCGCTAAATGATATGGTGGAAGAAATGTGAAATTAAATAACTTATTTAATTCCACCTATTATTTAATGTCATATTAATGTCACCTAAACTAGGGTCATAACTCCCGAATCTGTAGAGAATAATGAATAATAAGGGTTTAGATAATGTGTATATGAAATAATTGTTTGACCAACTTAAATTATAGTTTAAGTTAATTAATTTATTTATTTTGTAATAAGAAATCAGATTATGAATCTTATTTCTAATTACAAAGTAAGAATTTTTCATATTATGTGAAATCTATTGAGATGTCGTATAATTTTATCCTAATAGTAAAAAATCCATTAAAATCCAAAGAATCCATTATAATCAATGTGTAGAATTCTTAAAATCTTACGAATTCTGTTGAATTCTTTGAATGCATAAAACCCATGAGAATCTATAAATTCTGAATCAAAGACGCCATATCCATAGTTTCATTTTCAAAATCATTCTTTCGACAATGGAACTAGCAACTTTTCATTTATTTTTCCCTCTATTTTTCCTTCTCCCATTCCTTTGCACACTTTCATTTGCAGAAACTATGGAATTCCCTAAAACACGAGCAGAAAAGATTATCAGAGGATTGAACTTGTTTCCTGAGCTTGATGTGAACATTGCTGAAGAAGATCCTGCATTTACAGAATCAAAAATAGTCGAGAAAGGTTTACTATTTCCTTGTTTAGGTGATCCAACCTGTGTTCAATACTTGGGACGCACAGCTGGATATTATAGACTTCCTCACACCAAAAGTGCAAGGTATACCTTGTATTTGTTCTTTAGGTTTTGGGAACTTTCCTTGTAGTTTACCTGATTAGGTGAACAATTGCATGTCCAATACAGAATTCTTTACATTATTACAGCAAAAAAACAACTTAGAATACTTTTGGCATGCACCGACAAGTGAATTCTATGAGTCCGAAAAGCTCCAGGAAGAGCAACAAAAGTCGACTTTTCAACTAAAAATACAATTTCGTCATCCCTAATTACATCTTGTCATTCTCAATGATTTCATGAATAATTCCATCCAATTCCTATTCATATTTGCTTTATGAGGGAAATCTCTGTCAAACTAATTGAAATATTGTTGCAGGATGTTCTATTTTTTCTTTCAATCAAGAAACAATCCGAGTACAGACCCTGTTGTTGTATATATAACTGGAGGACCCGGATGCAGCACATCTTTGGCCCTGTTTTATGAAAACGGTCCATTCCAAATAACAGACAACTTATCTCTTGTATGGAATGATTTTGGTTGAGATAAGGTACTCTCATTTTCCTTAATTCTCATTAAAATTTTTTCATCTAGACTCCAAATGATGTTGTTTTTCAAGAGGAAACATACATCTGCTCTTGCAATTCTGTACTCTTTTTTTTTTTTTTTCCCTGACTGTTCCTATCTCTATCT